TAATCTGTTAATCTATTTATTAGAAGTTTCATTTTATATATGCATTAGAAGATTTTAATCTTCAATCAACAGCAAGGTTTATTGTATAAATACAATTTTGGATTGTTTAAGAAATACAATTTAAGAACATCATAAAAATAAAGCACCATAAAATGATATCATTTCCAGTTAAAATCATCACATTTTGCAAGTAAATGCTGCAAAGTGATTATCCAAGTTAAAATTGAAAGAATGCAGAAGAATGGTGTGTGAGCCAGTTGATCCCACTATTTTTTTTTTTCAGATACAAACATTTTTGCTCTTACTGTATCACTAGAATAATTTCCAGGGAGACAGCTTTACTGATCTGTAGCAGTAAAATATTGAAGATTCCAGTAGTTGGTATGTTGTTGGAGAGTAAATTCTACCTCTGTAATGAGTTGCAGCTCCAGCTCCTTAACTAATTATTTAGAAACATAATTTGTTTTTCTCTGTTACCTTATTTACTTACCCACAGTCCTCATTTCGTTTTTACAAGTCTTTAATGGGTGTTCATTTATTTTCTAAGAATATGTTATTCACTGTAATTGCTGACATAACTGCTTGGCTTCTTGCACTCCCTCTCAGAACATTCCCTCTATTTTTTTCTTGCTTGTATCTCTCCCAGTCCTCCTGCGTAGCTCGCAGACATAAATAAAAAATAGCCACCTGTTTTTCCTTCAAGGCCAGTTAATAAGCTTCATGGAATTGTTCTACTTCTTTTAGGCTGGCAGTTCCAACCGTTGTAATTTCCCTACTTTCCCAGTTAGAGATTGGCAGGGCATGTAGCATACTTTTTCACTGTAAATAACCCATCTTAGTAGTACCCTTTAGATAAAAGTATTTATTTGCTCTCTTCCAACTTTTGCAAGAATGTGTCCATTACTTTCTTAAGGATATTTTCCCTCCTCAATTTATTTTAATGTCTAGTATCTTGGATCCTGCCAACTATGCCAATTATGTTACAGTGAGGGTCAGAAAATACTTCCAGTGCCACTTGTTGTTCTTGTTAGCCTAAAACTCAGACCTGTGGAAATGAATGCAGGTTTACAACCTTCATTGTCTATTTCCTGAACTTAAGACCATTTATTTACATTCTTGTGCTTATCTATCCAATTCAAAAACCAGCTGGCCAGGCTAGATTTCCAGAAGAATTAAGGGAAGATGCCCACAATACATGATACCTCATTTTGTATGATGGCTCCATTGGTTTACCAAAGATGTTTAGTCCCATCTTGGCTCTTTTCTTACATCTTCTGGTACTTTTCACAGAATTTCGTTGCTTCAACCAGTTCACATGTGAACAACTATATTTTGTTGTGAAAAATGTTCTTGTGTCATCTTCAAAGATATGATTCTCCATGTGCTACATGAACTGAAATATTCCTGAACAAACCTTTAGGTCTTTTGGGTGGGTTTCACATACTCCCTCTCTCACATACACAAATATAATGGCATAAAACTACACATTATCATGTTATTGTGGCTTTATGTATCAATTGGCATTATCTGCTAGTGAATATAACTTGGTGTTAATGAGGTTATAACATGATTAATACCCTCCTTTTTCATTCAAATGAGGTAATAAAATAGAATATATTATTTCAGAGCAAAGAAATCAATAATATTATGCTAAAGTTCTGTTGTTTCTCACAAATCATAAAGGATTCCAAAATACCTCTTTTGGATGCTGTGTTGGTAGCTTTGTTGATAGGGCTATTCAGATATTTTTAAAAAATTCTGATTTAGCCTTCAAGAAGGCTCACAATTAACATCATTCATGAGTTACATAAATGTTGCCACAGAGTAATATTAATGCTTGCTTTTTAATGGGTCATTCAAACAGCTACCATTTTTTTCATTAAATTTGGGGAGGGAGATGGAACACCAGATAGCAATTCAAAGTTTATAATAATTGAGAAATATCTGTAACACGGAGTTTAAAAAAATTATATTAAAGGGATTTTTTAAATCAGTGACCCAGCTGTAGTCTTACACAAGGACAGTGAATTAATGTGTGTGAAAAATTAATTAGGTTCTGTACTAATGATTTGATTATTTTGCAACAGAAGAAATTAAAACAAAACTGATCTCTCAATTAGCAATACTGTATTAACATTTTTCTAAGAAATTGATATCTTGGGATTCTGTCAATATTCAGCAAGTGAGTAAATGGCACCTATTGTTCCTTTGCACCAGTATTTAACTCAGTCTGCCTCACTGTAGTATAACTGAGTATTGGTGCTGGGTTGTAACACTTCATCGGCTGGGGTTCCCTCATGCTCAGAAAATTGAGTATCATGATCTCCCTATGATGTTAGACTTTCCCATGAAACCTAGCCTCAAATTATTCCAAAGAATTGATTCAGTATTCCAAGTATCTTTAAGAGTTTAAAAATAAACGACATAATTTTTTTGTATGATTATAGGTTATAAACATTTCTTCTTCTTTCTAGACCATTTTAGAGCAAGATATTTTTCATTCCTCCTTGTTTGCATGTTGTTTTGAAATAGTGCTGTTTGCATATCGTTCACCAAGAACTTTTCCCTGGATCATTGATGTTCTTAATGTCAGGCCATTCTATTTCTATAAGGTAAGCACAGGAAAAGCATTGATCTTTAGACAAGGTGACTTCAGCTTTTTTCAAGTTGTCAAACAGCAAGCCCAGTTTTGCTTCACTTATTCAATAATAGGTAGCAACCAGTTCAAGCTCTCACTGCATATATCAGTATAATCCACAGTTGTTATACTGACACTGCATTACTAAAGTTTTATGAAAATGATGTGCAGTATCAACCAGCGCCAAGGAGAAATTAGCAAGACTACCAAAAGAGGCATAACTGGATTACAGTTGACTTGCATTACATTGACTTAACTACCCTATTTGGGACCGGCAACTCCTCTGCTAAGTGAAGCGGTCGCTAAGTGGGAAATCACGTGACTGACTACTTTCCAGCTGGAAAGAGACAAGACTACTTGGTTTCATACCTTTGGCTTTAGTTTGCCTCCTAGCCAGTCCCCCGCCCTTTGGAATGCTCGAGTGTCTGCTTAATGTCTTGTACACATAAAAAACAATGTGATCGCGGCACTATGCAAGCAGCTTATAGTACTCTCATGAAATCTCTATCTCTCCATTGTGGGGGAGTGGACGGGAAGCAAGCAATTTCTGTAGGCAATCTCTCCTTTGCCTGATCCTTCCCCGTTGCCAGCTTCCCCCCTGCTCTGCAAGGGGGAAGAAAAGAAAAAAACCACAGGTCAGGCACAGGACAACGCGTACTGACTGTAAAGGCAATCACATGACTGAGGGATGCTGCAAAGGTTGTAAGTGGTTGTAAATTGGCCGTAAAGTTATCTTTTCAACATCATAATTTTGAATGGTCGCTGAATGAGTGGTCAGTAAGCGAGGACTATCTGTAGTTAAATCTACCAAATTATATAGAGATTAGTTTAATGATAATAGTCTTTATTCTATATAATCCTGAACTCTTATTATAAAATTGAAGGTGTGTATATGTATACTCATTTTTATGGAAAACATTGGTGTGGTTGAGTTATGCAAGAAAGTGGTTCTACATAACACGCCTTTTTAAAACTATTTGGGTGAAACAAATGTTTTAAAAAATCATTTGTTGTGAAAAATCACAGAAATGTACAAATCTGCGAAACGAAACATGAAATGTTTTGTGCTCCTACATCGGGGTAGATATGTACTAGTTACTTAGATTTGCGTTATGTGTGTATGTGACCAAACTACTTTTTGTACTCAAGGTGATTGAAGTGTTGATTCGTTCGGAAGAAGGACTCTCAAGAGATATGGTAAAACACCTCAACAGCATTGAGGAACAGATACTTGAAAGCCTAGCCTGGAGAGAAGACTCTGTACTTTGGGATGCCCTTCAAGCCTCAGAAGATGAGGTTCCTAGCTGTGAAGAAGTACGCTGTCAGGCAAATAATTTACATTTAACAATGGAAATTACTCTGATAGATAGATAGATAGATAGATAGATAGATAGATAGATAGATAGATAGATAGATAGATAGATAGATAGATAACATATACATGCATACATGCATACACACATGCATACATACATACAGATTTGAAATACAGGAACTACTGTCTGATTAAAACATTTAAGACTCAATTCCTTGTATGGAGAACACGACTTATTATGGAATTGTGAAACAGTATTATTTTTTTTACCTTTTGAAATTGTTATCTTTTCTTCCCCAGGTAATATTTCCATGTAATTTTGAAACAGGAAATGCAGGAAGAGGACTAGGATATCTTCCCATGATGCCAGCCTCTCCTATAATGCACCCCAGAGTAAAAGAAGTTCGGACAAATCTTGAGGGCAATTTTAGACGAGGTAAGCTGAATGATTATATTTTGTGTCTAAAAGAACATCTACAGTACTTGGGTATGGTGATAGAATTAGATCTAATTAAAATCCAGAAGAAAAGCATTTCAGTGTTTTTCTTTCTGAAAACCATATAAACTAAGATTTTTTAGCACAATTTTATTAGTGCTGTAATATTTCTGCACTTAAATACTGGTTGTAGAAAGCATCCAAAGAAAACCTGGAGAGGATATGAGCCTAGAAATAAGAAAACTAGAATGTGAAAAGAGAACTGATTGTTTTGTAACTAAGCTTGTTTGAACTGTCATCTCCACTCACTTCTCCACAGTGACGTACTAAAGCGGGCAGGGGGGAGGCTGTCCACCTGGGTATAGGCGGTAAGGGGGGTACTGTTGAAGACAATGAGGAGGCTAGTGGGTGTGGATTTGGGTCGATGCTGCTGGTTCATCAATCAGCTATTTTGGCAGTTGGTGTGGTGCAGCAGGGAAAATACTGTACCTTTAAGTCAGTTTTGACTCCTGGCAACTGCCCCCTGCAATTTTCTTGGCAGCATTTTTCAGAAGTGGCTTGCTAGTTCTTTCTTCCTAGGGCTGACAGAAGTGACTGGCCCAAAGTTACCCAGCTGGCTTGTACCTAAGGCAGGCCTAGAGCTCATAGTCTCCTGGTTTCTAGTCTGATACCTTAACCAGTGCACCAAACTGGCTCTCAGTGACAGAGGAAGGGGTATTAAAAATGATCTGCTCCAGGTGTCAAATATGCTAGTTATGCCAGTGCTTCTTCACATGTATCAATCCAGTGTTGGCCTTCCTTTCCCAGACCCTGCAACAAACCCAGATGTCTATTTTGGCCCCACATCTACACCAATTGCACTTTCACAGACCCCAACAAGTACACACTCAAGATTAAAGGTGCCTTCACATGCTCTTCTTCTAATGTGATATAGCCCATCATCTGCTAGCAGTGCCCCTCTGGATTCTGTATAGGACAGATGGGGCAGATTTTTCCCCAAAGAATTAATGGACACAAATTTGACATCAAGACTCAAAATAAGGACAGAGTAATATCTGAGCATTTCAGCCTCCCAAGACACTCTGTGGCAAACCTTAAAATGACTGTTTTGGAAAAATGAAACTTTAATAGCACAGTTGAAGAAGGGATAGCTGAACTCACTCACATACATCAAAAGGTTTCAAGCAGTCTCAGGAGATCTCAACAAACCCAATGGGGTTTAACACATTACAATTGTTAATTGATAAAGTACTTGTAATCTTTTCAATATGTAACCTGCATCAGTATAACCACCCTGATTCTGCTCCCTTCCTCCCAGTCCCAGGTTAAATCCTACATAAAACCTTATACCTTTTAATAAAATGTGTTAGAGAAAGTGTAACCAGACTGAGATGAGAATAATTGGTATCAAGAGATGGATTCTAAAGCCATATCAAAGGAGGCCAAGTGATGGTCATGTTTTCATTGCCACTTAATGAGTGAATTGTCAAAGAAAAAACATCCTTCATACAGTGCTATATCTCTTCACTCCTTATTCTCCGCAGACTCAGTGTACCACATTTTTCTAGTAGATTCATGATTTGTAGAGAACTGTAAAATTCAGTTTAGTTATAAATGTGACTGAAATATCTTTTTGAATTTATATAAGGCAGAGAAATACAGTATTAGAATTTATTACTGTAAAATGAAATCTCTTTTTATTATTATGAGACTACAAATGTATTATCGTGTGGCCTTCTATGTTCCACTTTTGAATGTTATTCCATTTATATACTTCCGAATGCAAAAAGACTTGTGTCTCTGATTTACTGCATTTTGAAGTAATGCTTTTCTCTTTTATTTTAGATTTGCAGTTATTGTCTCCAATCTCTGTTTATGACCGTTACAATTCTCCTATGGCAGGAAGTGCTAAAAGAAGGCTTTTTGGAGATGAAAGCCCCCCCACAAAATCTGTAGAAAAAAAACATGCTGAAGGATTGAGACTGAAAACAAACGAGCATATGTCTGTTTCACCTAATGAGGTCGTTCAAAATATGGCACATACCACAGTAACAAGACAGAAAGTAACAATCCCATTACATGGTAGGTAGGAAATAATACAGTTTATGTTAGAATTTTTTATGGCAAAGGGTAATGGTTGTGAACATTTTGGAGTGAAATATTTGTCTTAAACAGTTGTTATGGGTATGGAAGAAGACCAAATTGTTGTTTAATTTAGTGTTACATATTTACCACCAGGGAGGGGGAAATGCATTTAATAGCGTTTTCTGTCTTTGGTATCCAAATAATTTAGTTTGTTATCACTGGGTGGTCCCTGATGGAAGTGTTGGAAATAAAGTACTAGCTCACTTGGGTAGCTAAAATTCTGTTGTAACCCCTAGGCATAACCACTGTAGAAATGTACTTGCTTTGGGGGCATGCATGGAGGAGTATTTCAGAGCTGGCCAATTTTTTTGGCTCTGAGGACTCCAAATGATGCTGGGTGGTAGGAATAGATGGAGGCAAACATATCTTAATACAAACACAAAATATACTGTTCATTGAGGCAACAGTGAGGAACTTCAGTAGGCCCATGAATCATCTATTCCTGAACTATATTAATCTGTTGAAAAAAAATAGCATTAAGACATAGAGCCTTCTGTATTTATTTAACATACATTTTCAGAATGTTTATTCTAACCTAAGAAGGTGCATTGTAAATAGATATGATAACTTTTGCATACATCTTAGGTAACACAAATGAGACAGGAAGGATTACATTGATACCTACTGCAGTCAACTTATCTGAAGACTCTAAAGTGGACAGCTACGGACAAGTCCCCCTCAGTGCTAATGCTTTAATGACTGTTTCTCCAAGTGAGCCTCCTCCGAGTGAACCTTTTCATTCAGCAGGAAACAAGCCAAAGAAAACTGGATCTCTAGCACTTTTTTTCAGAAAGGTAGAATGTATTTGTAAATATGTTTTGTATTAAAATGATATTCCACCATGACCACTACCAGAAATCTTTCATAAAAATAATCTAAATATAGTAAAATCAGTAAAATCTAGGCTATATAGCATTTATACAAAACAGATTTATTAAAAATCACAGTGTACTTTATGAAAGCTAACATGAGGTGAGGAACATTTCATTCATAATAGATAATCCCTAGAAGATAAAAATATTTATGATAATCCAATATTTTTTATTAACAAAATAGGAATGGGAAGAACTCAACTATGAGTCCACAGTAGGATATAACAAGTCAAAGAGAATAAAGAATTGTAAAATAAAAAAGACATTTGGAGAGGCACCTTAGCGTAGATCTTAATTACATAATTAATGCATGCATATTAATTAATATGATTAATGCATATTAATATTAGAAGCTTATAAACCAAAATGGGGAATTTAAGTGCATTTCTGGATTCAAACACTGTAAGAGAAGGAAAATACACATAGCAACACCAACCTAGTATGACAACTTAAAAATCAGAAATACGATGTGAGGCAAACTTCTTTGCATAACGGTTATGGATGGAAATATGAAGCCTAAAAATATTTTTGTATTTGGAGTATTCTTTCTCTGATTAAAATTCTCAAAGTGATGCTGAGATTAGAACCAGAGTGGTATCCAAGGCAATTCCAGTTACTTTCATATAGGCTTCATATAGAAGATAAAGAGGTTAAATTTTCTAGAAACTTTTTAAAACTGGCCTAATACAGTTGGTTGTGAAAGCAATTTGAGATTAATCCTAAATGGCCCCCAGCATCTGATCTGAAACAGATTAAAGTGACTACAATGCTTTCAGATATAACTGAAAATTGCTGAGAAGGTCAAACACAGGTCATTGGACTTCAGAAGAAACTTCAAAAATAAGGGGATGAAAGAGAAAGTGAAGAGGATCAATGTTCCAGAATATTTGGGAGTTATATAAAACCATAATAATAGTTCGCCTGAAAAGTATATTGCAAGTCAGAAAATAGACCACTGATGATGTCACGATTAACAAACCAAAGCAAGAAAGCTGTTAAAGAAAAGTGATTTCAGAAAAATAGAAGGCAAAAAAGAAGACAGACTTGCACCCTCAAACAACAGAAAAAATGGAAACAATAAGGGAAGAAAAAAACAAACGCATGCACAGAGATCTGTTTGGTTAATATATGTTCTGGCTTAATTGGTAGGAAATACTATGAAAGAAGGAAATCTTGAAGAAAAGACACATTGTTTGATAAAGATAAGACCTAGTGGTCATACCAATCTCTGTGATATCTCTGAATATCATTTGATACTCCTTTGAATGGGAGTAATCTGATAGTTGCTGTGTCTATAGTTTCTAAAAGCTTTTGACAAAGTTCCTATTTAAGGGCTTCTGAGTTTTATTTTTAAAGATAAAGATTACTATTTCTGCGTTTGTGTCGCTCTACATATCAGGAAAACCTGTCTTTATCCTATTTATTCAATAGAAAGATAAGTCTTTGGTCCCATGGGTAAAGGAGGCACTTGTCCAGGTGCTTTGCTATGTTATGCAAAGTCAACCAGCCATTTATGATGTTGTGTGTACCAGGCTGTTCTTTGCATCTTGGCTATATTGTCTATGACTCTGAAGCTATGGCTGAGGTTTGGCTGCCCTGACATACATGGTTGAGGTTTGCTGCCTTGGTCACACATTAACCTCATTTTTATTTAAAATGAAAGGGTTCTGTTAATATGTGCGTGAAGAATACAGCATGCAATAAGCAGCATGACCATGCTACCAATATTAATACATAAAGAAAATGTAATTGGAAGAATGACTTTCCTCCATAAATAAGCATACCTGAGGTGGAAGAAATTTTGAGCAAGGGAGAATTTTGACTCAGAGACCACCTCGTCAAACCATGTATCCAACATGGGAATCCACTATTATAGAATCCATAATGGATGACCTTCCAACCTCTGTAAACTACCTCCAGCAAAGGAGAGCCCACCACCTCCCAAGGCAGTCTCTTCCATTGCTAAGCATCTGTAATCATTAGGAAGTTATCCCCAATGACCAACCAAAACCCATTTCCTTGTAATTTAAATCCTTTCTAGTTTCTCGTCCTTTTGGAACAACTCCAACCAATTCAGTCTCATCAGGTACTTGCGATGTCCCCCTGCAGGCAAAATATACCTAGCATTTCCAACAGTTTTTCCTGTGTTTTTCTTTCCAGCCCCCTATCCTCTTGGTTGTTCTGCTCTGGACACCAGTTTGTCAGTGTCCTTCCTAAAATGCAGTCCAACTGGATTCAGTTTTCTCAATGCAGTCTGACCATTACAAAGAGAAAAGAATACAGTAGTGACTTCTCTTAATATTTTAGAATGGGTTATTGGTGAAGCTCCAGCAACAGTAGCTGTCCACTCCAGGCATACTGGGTCAGTCAGTTCCCGCAGTCCTGATAATAGCTGCTTTATCCCCATGTTTTAGCCCCATCTTGTCTTAACCAATAATAGCAAAAGCATTATTTGTCTGTGCTGCTATACTGCTAGAATCAAAACAGTCTTTAAAAACAACAATCCAGTTAGTCACTGTAGAAACTAGGATGTTGGAGTAAATAATCCTTTGATCTGATGGGGCCAAAGGAGGACTCTTAGATTCAGTTATTTCTCACATACAGACTTGGGTATGCCTCTTGCTGTCTTCATTTCCCCTTCCAGCAGTCTCAGAAATAGTTTTTTGGAGGAGGTAAGGAGAGAGGGAAATTACCATGTGCAAGCTTCAGTGCTTTCTCTTCTTCAAGTAACTCTGAATCAGACACAGCAAGAATTGCTTAATGAGGGTAGGAACTTACTATGGTTAATGTAACTACAAATTACTAGAAGAATAAAAAGTTATCTCAAGAAAGAAGGAGGCACCTTGAAAATGACATAATTTGAAACACACCGAATCCATCTTTTGGGATGCATCTATACATTGTTATTGAAATACGATACAGAGACAGAACGAATTGAAAACTGCATGATAAAATGGATGCAAAATTTCAAAGACATAATTACAGTAGAACAATGGGAAGAGTTATGGAAAAAAATCAATAATGTTCAAGCTACAATTGGATGGAAAATTGGTACAAAATGTTTTATACATGGTATGTAACCTCATCAGTGGTTAACAGGATAGACAACTAATACAATAACAAATACTGGAAATGCCATAATAAAGAGCATTTTACCCCATGTGAGCATGTAAAAAAGCCCAAACGTATTGGAAGGAAATAACCAAAGCAGTCAGAAAAATTGAAATATAAATTTTGATTTGAAACAACAAATATTTTATTAGGAAAAATTACAGAAAGCATAAATCACAATATACAATGGCAAAATTTGCTGTATATATATATAGTTCTTGGGTTACGATGGCAATTGGGACCAGGATTGCCATCGCTAAATGATGCAGTCATAAAGTGCAACGTCACGTTTAGTGACAACAATCCTAGTAGTCCTGGTTGCCATCCTAACTCCAAGGCATGCAGATTATTAAGAGGGAAGTGGAGGAAGTCTTAGGCAAGGAGCATGGGGGTGCCACAGGCTCTGAAAGGTATGGTGCAGGCCATGCATGAACTGGGAGAGGATGGGGAAAGGGGGTGCAGTGCCACGTGAGCACAGGGAGGTTGGGAAAATGAATGGTGCTGTGCAAGCGCAGGGAGGCTGGGGGGACTTACCAGAGCCGACTCCGCCAGCTTCTCCATCGACTTTGCTTGTGGGAAGCTGGCAGGGAAGGTTGCAAATGGTGATCATGTGACTGCGGGGCACTGCAGCCATCATAAGTGCAAGCCAGTTGCCAAGCGCCCAGTTGCAATCACATGACTGCAGGGATGGTGTGTCACTGCTGGAACTTTGAGAACTGGTTGGAAGTACCACTCGTTCAGCATCGTCACAACTTTGAATGATCCCTGAACGAGTGGTTGGTAAGGGAGGACTACCTGTATTCATAACAGAAATTTAACTAAATTCAAACAGGAATGGCTCCCTTACATATCGCGCAGCAAGGCAGATTTAGACATTTGGAATACAGTTTTTAATAAAAGTTAAGAGATCAACAGGAATGGCTCCCTTACACATCACGCAGCAAGGCAGATTTAGACATTTGGAATACAGTTTTTAATAAAAGTTAAGAGATCAATTAAAAAATATCTCCAATATTTCAAGAAAATGGTTAAGTAGTGATTAGTGGTAGGGACAATGGAAGGGAAGGGAAAAATGAACTATCAAAAGTTCCTCTTTATGATATTTTTTGTTTTACTTTTTTTTTTTTTTACTTTGTTCCAGTATTTCACTTTTCTCTATACTTTTTGTTCTGTACAATCAACTTGAAGAATGTAAAGTGACTATATGCTTATAATAAGGTCTCATATTAAAAAAAAGTAAGTCTTTGGATCCAGCTACTACTCAAAGCATGCCTGAAAAATTTGAACATTTTTAGATTAGCAGCACATACCTCTACACATTTACTAGGAGTGATTATTTATTTATTTCCTGAATTTAATTTAAGGTCCTTAAAATTAGCAAAATGAATCCAAGTAAGAATATATTATATCTTAGTTTCTCTACCCACTGCCAGTTTGTTGTTTGACAAAATTCTTCAAATTCCTAAAAACAATCAAGAAAATAAAACAGTGTGGCATGTCCTCTTAGGTATACAATTTGGCAAGTGTTCGATTGCGTGATCTCTGCTCAAAATTGGATGTTTCCAATGATTTACGAGGGAAGATATGGACTTGTTTTGAATTCAGTTTAGTTCATTGTACAGATTTAATGAAAGATAGACACTTGGATCAGCTCCTCCTCTGTGCTTTTTATATCATGGCAAAGGTAAGAGAGATTCTTCAAAATGTAATTCTTTATGTTCTGGAATGAATTTGTAATACCTTTCTTTAATAAGTTGCTTAAAGAACCAATGTTCTTTAAGTCTCTTCATGTTCCTAGGTTCTTTTTTTCCAGGTACTCTAAATAAACATTTTCTTTTGGCCAGCTAAGCAAGATACTGCTCCAATTGGTAGTAGGCCATTTTCCATTGTTACAACAGCACAAATTGTTACATGCAAAATAAATTTATGCTTTGAAAATGAATTGGAAAAGGTACTTCAAAGTAGGAGCACAAATGTAGCTCCTATGTGCAACTCTTTAAAGCAACCATGTCTTTTCTGAAGATAACGTAGCAGCTGCAGAGTGCAGTTGTGTGATCCCTGAAAAAGACACAGCTGTTATAGAGTTACATTTGAGTTCTTGCAAGCTCTGAAATATTTTTTTTTTCTGAAGTGCTGTGCAGCCTATAATGATTAGATGCCCTTGCATTTTGTATATAGCTAGTCCCTTTCTAGAGCATACTTTTATCTGTATTGCATTTAGTTATAAGTACACATTAAATAAAATTACTACTACTACTACTAATTTATCAGATTTTTGTTATAATACAGCTGTTCCTAGCAATCTCATTTCAGTTCATATCTGAAGTGCTTGTGATTGTTTGAATCAATCCATATTTCCATCTTAGTTGAGCTTTTCAAATTGCCAAATTATATGTTTGGTGGAATATGAATATGAAAAATAGGTACTAGGTAGTTCATAAGACAAAAGCAGTATCTTCTCTCTAATTTGTTATTGTACTTACAGAACTGGGAAATGAGAAGCAATCAAAGCAGTTACTAAGCAAAAAAGGCAATACTTCAGTCTTATTAGGTCTGAACTCTTATGATATTTGTGATCAAAATCTTTAAAAAACATCAAAAAGAGAATAGAGAATGGATCAAAAATGTTTTTTTAGTTGTGATTATATAAAGTGGTTGTTCTTTGAAAATGCTGTAGAAAGGTATTTGGTTTAGGAATATGTATAGGAACCTTTTCTTTATAATCAGCTATAACTGCTACTTGTTCAGGTGTCCAAAGAAGAAAGAACTTTTCAGGACATAATGAAAAGTTACAGAAATCAACCACAAGCTAACAGCTATGTAAGTATATTTCAGTACGTCTATAAATATTTTGCTTTTGTTATTCAAACACTGTCTGCAGTATTTAAGAGTATTTCCAGTCAAACTCCCTGAAATTGCAAATCCTTGCTGTCTTTTGCTCTGTAGATATATAGAAGTGTCTTATTGAAAAAAGTACCAGCTGATGTAATAGATGTAAAACATGAGGATACATCAAATGAAGGTAAGAGAGTGGTTATTGTCTACTTTCTACTATTGTCTACTACTGCCTACTTTCATCAACACTGCAGATTGGGAAGATGGTGGAAAGTATTTAAGCTTTAATGAATGCTTGAAAATAGGATTCTCTTGAATGTGTAACATTTAGAATACAGTATTTTGCCTGATTGTTGAAAATTAGATGGAAACCATTTTAATTCTTTTAAAATAACTCTATAGGTTTGAAAATACTATTTAATCTAAATTCTTTCACTGTAATGAGATTTCTTAGATCAAAACATTCCAACACATTTAAATGCCAACTGTTACATAAAGGACAGAATAGGAACAACCAGTGATATAAAAGTTGTCATATCATTAAGAAAATGTAGTTGAAAATTTAACCTGTGTGTTTAACAAATACGATCAAGATAATGCATTGTGACCCCCATATTCTGATCAAGTAAAGCATAGTAGTTCATGACATAGGCAGTGACTTAGATTTTATAGATCAAAGTCCCAGAAATAGAATTAAATCTATTATAAGAAGCATGTGGTTTCAAAGTGTTATGCTATTTCTTCAATATTTTTCCCAACATAAGTGTGTCTCAAAAGGAAGTCCATATTCAATAGGGCTTACTCCCAGATAATTTTTTCTTAATTCCTGGCAGAGATAGCCTGCATTTAGCCATGGCTTCTTGCTGTTTTCTTACATAGAGTATATATACACAAACCCAAATGAACACTTTGTGCTAGTTTTGCTGATATGAAAAACCCCAGTGACGCTGACAATTGTGGCTAGTGGACTTGGTCTGTATTCAACACATTATGATCTGATTGTTTCACATATGTGCACTAGGTCAACCCATATTTATTGCAACACCATTTAGACTACAATCCTGTGTATTTGTATATAGGACTAACTTACATTCTACTTATTGTGACTTGCTTCTAAGTAAAGCATCTAACTGTGTTGTCTGCCTACTTTCATCAACACTGCAGATTGGGAAGATGGTGGAAAGAGGAAGGGAGAAATAACCTTTGTGGTAAAGACAATATATTTTCTGCTCTACTTTTTCAATTTAACAGGTTATTATATTTATCTCGCCTTCTCTCTTCCTTTCAAAAGGTGTCTGCAGGAAGATAAACAATTCTAGAGATTTGGAAAAAGAAGAGAGAGGGGATCTTGTAAAGTTTTACAACACTATTTATGTAAAAAGAGTGATAAACTTTGCATTGAAATATGATGCTTCCAACCATGATTATGTGGTATGTGAATCTCAAGTTTCCAGATGAGTTCATACAGTTTGATTGCTGGTTTGTGATGCTTATCATAGCTTTTGAAACTTAGATACTAAGAGGTGAATTGCCTCTACCAGTATATTCCTGCACATTCAGTACGGTCATAATTGAAGGCCAGGTTCCCACCTTGCTGAGGTATGACCGATGACTAATCAGAGCTGGTAATCTCAGTAATCTCCAGCTACAGAGTATTCTCCCCACAGAGGTCTACTTTTACCTTTCCAGCATCTGGCACAAATCACTTTATTCTCCTCAGCCTTTTCATTTCCTGCATTTCTGCTGCTCTGTGGTATTTTAAGTACAGGTGGGTCTCTATTAGTGTGAGTTTGAATAGTGTGATAATTTATTTAGTGCAAATTATAAATTGATACCAGGTCACATTTAATGTGAGCCAAAGTTCAGTTAGTGCAAGGCTAGTGCATGCACAATTGAGGCTAGCACGTGTGCAGCTGAAGCTAGTGCACGTGCAGTTGCTGTTGGGGTTTAGACACTGATTGTTGTGTATGCAAAATGGAGAAAAGGAAGGTTCTGTTTGAGGAGAGCTCAAAAGAAGAGGCTCATTTTGACAAACTACAGCAGAATACAAGAGATAGCAGGTATGCTTTGGATATGGGTTTATCCTCTTTTAATGTTATACAGTAATTCATTAATAAACATATAAAATTTATGTTTAAAAATATTAATTGCCTATTTCTGTCAAGCTGGAACCAATTACCCTATTTTCCATAGAAATATCGCTTCAGTAGTGCAAATTCTAATAATGCGACCATTTCATGGGATTCATTAACCACACTAATTGACCTACCTGTAGTTTTTCTAAGTTATTAATCTTATTATTTATCAGAGTCTCATAGTTTATATGAATTTAGAACTTAAAGCAAATGAAAAGTGACCAAAGATAACGTACAAGGGTGGTTTAGCTAGAATTCTCCAAAAATTAATCACAATAAATTAATTAAATTTCTGCCCCACTTTTCATTCAAGAGCAGATGGCAGCATACATAGTGCTCCCTCCTAACCCTGTTAGCTAGGTTGGGCTGAAGGAGAGTGGCTGACCCAAAGACACCCAGTGAGCTTCTGTGGCAGAGGATTACCAGAGTCTGGGTCTCCCTGTTCCTAGTCCAACACCTTAATTACTACATTATATTGTCTTTCTAACACTTTAGACATCTTTTTTGTGACCAAGAAAGATGTCTTGTAATGTACTTTGAAACTTAAGGTTCCTATCTACTATCATTTGAATAACTGCAAATTGCTTTCATTTATTATAGAGGCTAATCTCCAATAATTTTTGAAGTATTTTTGAAAAATCATTCAGTCGTCTTGTCCTAACACGCAAGAATCCATAATTCTTTGCTTTTTAATTTCTGTTAACGCAGTATACTTTTAATCATTATGGAATAGTAATTAGGAGTGGGACTGGGGAAAATAGGATTGAAATCCTTCTTCAGCTATGAAACCCACTAGGTGACTTTGGATCAGTCACTGTCACCCAACCTACTTCCTGGGGTTGTTACAAGGATAAATTTAGAGGGGGAGTAGTATATGTCATGTTTTGAGCTCCTGAAGGAAAGGCAAGATCTAAATTCAACTCATAAGTGCAAGTCAAAAATAGCTATCTGTACTTCATAGGTAACAATTTTCTTTTCACATATCATGTTCTAAATGTGTGTATTTTAATGGGAGGTTAAAATAGGTGAAAAACATAATATCCTTGTGTATTATGAGTTAAAGCCTCAGCAGCAAAAACTGGAGTTCAGCTGAACTAAAGCTGATGTAGCTATCTGATGTTGATTTGCTATATTTTTTGCTAAATAATGGCTACAGCTTCTAGGAATCTAAGTGAAGAAAAAAGGGTCCCACCAGCTAGTTAAGAGTATAAAATAAGTTGGGTAGAGAATTGTCTTCAGTATTTGTCATTTTTGTAGCTTCAGTTAGATCAGGGGTTAATTGAGAAGCACACGTGCATCCAAAATACTAAAAAAAAATCACAGTCATATTTCAGAAACAAAAAACTGTTGTGTGAGCCTTTGTATTGATTTTACACATCTAAACAAGTTTGTTAAAGAGAACTTTACCCCACAAAAACAAACACCATGGGAAAAAAAAGTCTGGCATTATATCATCATTGTCCTGCAACTTCTAACATCTGGATGCCAAAAGGAATAAAAGCAATAATTTTAAAAGAGCAGTCCTCAGTTACAAAAGAGTACCAATTTCTGAGTTAACACACATTAATTCAAATTAGATTAGCAAAGTATCTAAGTATATTTTTTCCCCCCAAGGTGGAAGCACCTCCGCTTTCTCCCTTCCCCAGCATTAAACAGCTACCAGTGTCTCCTCGGCGAATTTCTCAGCAACATTCCCTTTATGTTTCACCACATAAGAATGGTACTTGCCTGACACCTAAGAGTGCGCTGTTATATAAATTTAATGGGAGCCCTTCTAAGGTAAGATGTATCTTTCTAACAATTAAGAGTTAAAACCTTATCCATAAATGTTGACTTCAGGATAGTCTTTCTGGTCTTTTTTAAAGGATCCAGATAGCAAGATGATAAAGGTTAAATATTAGACTGAAATTTGAAAGTGATAAAAATGAGACTATTATATTTTTTAAAAAGTAAAATATTAATTGCTGTGTACAAATGTATTTTGAAAATTCAAAACCTAATAAAACATATTAAGCTATTTTAACTGTTGAAATTTAGTATTCTTGATTGTGATGTTTTTAATTTGACAGAGTTTGAAGGAAATTAACAATATGATTAAACAAGAAGGACAGAGACCTAAGAAGAGAGCAATATCAATTGATAGTGACACAGAATCACCAGCTAAGAGGCTTTGCCAGGAGAATGATGATGTTTTGCTTAAACGTCTTCAAGATGTTGTCAGTGAAAGAGCAAACCATTAAGTCAGCAAAGATGCTGTGAGCACCAAAGCTTCCTTGTGACTCAACTCTGTCCTTCCTAAAGTTTTTACTTTTTGTAGCTAGATGGATTACCAATCACTGTATTAGAATTTTATGATGCTCCATTTATAGAAACAAATTTTATAGCAGTTATGAATTTTGATTGTGTAGTCTATGAATATTTATGACATTATTTTGAAGGTTTTGATCAGATCTATATTAATGCATTTTAATATAACAAATGTTATTGGAATTATTATGTGAAAGTAGGAGCTTATGAGGAAATCTTGATTTTAAGATTCCTTTCCCAACATAATTACAATGTCAGTTATTTTCTGGCATGGTTATTTGGGTTTATGGTTCACTTCAAAATATTTTTTGGTTTTTATTCTTTAAAAGAATATTAGGATCTATGCATTATTCTAATATAAAATAATATAGTAAAATCATTAATATAGTAAAATCAGGTGGTATAGTTTACAGTGGAGAGATGTCCCCTGTTTGAATGGTTGGATCAATCCTTTGAATAAGCTGTTCTGTAAAGCACTGAACTCTTAGCTCCTAGTAGAATGGCAAGCTTTGTGCAGGATGAACTGGAGTAGGATTTGGGGTGATTAATTTTAGTCTTGCTACTAGGATAGTTGTGTGAAAATTGTTTGTGGTCTTTCATCATAACCTATATTGGTTTACTTTATTCCAAGTTAGTTTCCTGAAGAGATAGTGAGCCCTCTAATAAATAAATGGATGCACTCCTTGTATATTAATAGAGCTTAAGAGGGCTACTTCTGCACTATAGATGCCTATGCACTGTATAATATCTGTAACAAGCATGTTACTCATTCATAATTAATATGGCTTCTCACATGAAAAACCTGTCTACACGATACTGTGTCTGGCTATATAGCATCTCAAGTCTGTTTTTCTCAAGGGAAGGCTGAAGCATTGTCTAAACAAGTGCCCTCCTCTGCTCTTAAAATGGAAAAATATCTCTGCTGTATCAAAGGGATAAAAAAGCACCATGTCTGAGAGAGGCTGCTGGGTTTATCCTACCATTGGCTGGGTTTAAAAAAGATGTTCCAGTATTTGTTGAGATGCAGAAAAAAAACGTATATACTTGAGAATTATTTCTTTTTCTCTCTCCATCCAAAAAAAAAACCCTATCAAACAGTGAAAATGATTTCCTAGGAAAATACTATTCATATGCATTTACCAAAGCTCTTGCTGAGCCCAGGAAAATTATAGGTTGAGCCAGTATTTTAAGGTACTCCAGCCTTCTCTACTGAACTACTTGGTAATAGAACCTTTAGATCTAAACAGAGTCAGCCACCTACTAAGCAACTGTAATTTGTAACAATGTTGTAACATTCTTTTTAATAATTTTTTCAACCTGAAAAAGCTTATTTTCCTTTGTGTAGTATCTACACAAAATATAAGCCTTATCAAATTAAGTGTATGCATAAGATTAATATGAGATATTGTGAGGTTTTAACCGTAGTTTTCTATCCTGGTCAAATTTTTAATTTTTTGCTGAATTTTTTATAAAGAGGGAAATTCATTAGGAATACTTTATAAAAGTATAGAAAGATAAAGTTCTATCATTACTGTAAAGGATCGTTCTCACTTGAATTGTATTAAAAGTAAGAACCATAAACTATTTTGTATTTCTGATTCATGTATAGAAAGTTTTACATTTTGTTAAGACTGCTTTCCTAAGATTTTAATTACTTTTAAAGGATTTTTATATTTAGTCAGTATTCCAAAGTATAATACATTGAGATCTACTGTTTAATAAACCACAAAGCCAGGTAATAAGCTGAAAACTGTTTTACATCAGACTTAAATATATTTATTCTTTATTGATCCTAAGGAAGGAAGGAACATTCATAAGTGTGGAACTAGAATGGTATGCTTTTTATAAAAGGTATATTTTTCGTTTGGGGGAAAAATGGTGTTTTACCTTTTGAAATATTTGGCTTGTTATCACAGAGTGTGGCATAAAAGTATACTCAGTATACAGTAGTTTCAATTATATGTAACTGGTTTTTTATGTTTCTTTTCCAGTCAGTTGATCTTAATTAACTCACCTTTCTCTCAGCGGCATCAGTACATTCAAGGCAGGGGAGGTGTCTAGCCTGGGATCTTCTAAGACAAAGAGCCCCTCCAGGCCTTCAGCCTTTTTTAAAAACAAAAACAAAAAAACAAAACTGGCCAATGATTGCTGCCAGATTGGTGCATGCTGATAGAGGTAGCTAGGAATTTGCCAAGGTGCCACAATGGGAAGATATGGAACAACAGACAAAAGCAGGCTGTGAGCAAACATAGCAGACTGCCTCCATGCATACTAACTCTGGAGACCACTAGATGGCTGCACAGAGATACAGAAACCCCTAACTTATCAGTGCCCTTTAGTGGTTGTCTGATTTTTGCAGCCCAGTTCTGGTAGTACAGTACAGTTCTACTCCTAACAGAGTGGTCCAATTCACCAATGTGTATACAACCCAGGCACCAGAATAGGTCTCCTCCTTCAAATGTAGCCACTAGCTCTTTAGTTGATGACTAATGTCTAATGTTTGGATGGAGGCCCTAGCCTCCAAGAGGTTTGCCTACTATCCATAGAGCTCAAGTTATGTCCTTGCTTTCTTCACTTATCTGCCCCACAGGCATATTCTCAGGTCTGACGTTAAAAGGTTGGTGCTGAAATTCTGCTTAATTGTGCATTAATGATTTACATTCATTAAGTTTTATATTAATTAGAACTTTTGTATTAATTACAGGTTGATTAGAATATATGACTAATGTTCCAGATTAAAAATTGGGTTTGGATCTATCCCTGTAAACAGACTTAATAAAAAAAAAAACTTTATTCTGATCTGATTTGGATTGTTTTGTTATCTTGAGCCATGTGGAAATTGTGTATTTGAATTACAGTGCCTCAATATACTAAAAATGAAGAAATGAGCACACAAGACCAATATTTATGGTAGCCCCTGTCCTGTGTACAGCATTGATGTGTTTCATAATGCTTCATAAATCTGAATTACTTCAGAAATGAATGCTCACCCAGACCTAAGGCAAGATTTTCCCATCAGAAACACATGTATGTAATATAATGCTAGTTTACTCCGAGTATAGAGGCAGTTGATAAGTTTATAGCCTAGTTTTGAAGATTGGCTGACGGGGCAAACAAGTCAAGCATGCTGTGTACTTAAATAGGAAATCTTATCAACATTATGCTTCTTACAGAATCACTAAAATGATCCATTCCACCCAAATGTTTCAAAGAAATGTGTGAGCTGTGTTTTCAGAGGAATGAATTACTTTTTCCTTTGAAAGCATGTTTCCAGATACCAAAAGTGTTTCACCTATGGCCTTTGAAACACCTTTCAGAGCAAATGCTAAGGCATGTTTTCATTTCAGCTACTAAGGAAATCACTAAAACAGGAAATAAGTGGGGGAGTGTAGACAATGACCCTTTCTCTCCTGCATATTGTTGACCTTTTTACTTTTTGGCATTATTTGGAAAAACCCCCCCCCACACACACACACACTATATTTGCTGTAAATAACCCTTATAGTTTCCTATGATTTTGAACACAAATATAAACCCTAAAATATGCTTACCAGAGTTTAAAAAACAAGGTCAGCCTTTCTCTTTTCTCACATACACACACGTGCACACACTCCTAAGAACAAAAAATGCCATCTTTGCCCTCGATTTCCTGTCGTAACATTTCCTTCATAATACTAGCCCATGGTTCTGCTAGGTCAGGCTTGCTTTCACTTTCATCTGCCTCATTCTTCCATTTGCTCCTCAGCAGCCATCTTTGCCTTTTCTTGCTCCATTTGCTAGTGCCTGGTATATGCCCAAGCTTGAGGGTGCGCTTGTGTTGCCAGGGTACTAGCAAACACTGGTTCCTACTTGGCCTCCTTATCCACGCACCCATTGGCACGCCCTGGTCATCATCTGCATGCTTGGATCCCACCTCTGCCATCACTTGTGAAGGTTCTTTGTTTTCCAAGGATTGGACACACTGCAAAGTAGAAGAGAACTATACACAATCCTTTATTGTAGCACACACCTTCCCTAACAATAGACTGTTGTTCTGGGTTACAACAGCGTTACAAGTTGATTTAGCCATGTAAATAAATCTTTGATACTCAGTTCTTACAACAGGTAAAATCCTAAAGATTGTAAAGTGGCATACAGCCTTTGCCTTCCTCCAACAATTCTTGCATTTGTTGGGACTAGGTGCTGGAGCTCCCAAGCCAAGCTCCAGGCAGGAATCATACCAAGATGTGCTGCTTACCGTTGTTCAGTGTTTCTCAACCTCAGCAACTTTAAGATGAGTGGACTTCAACTCCCAGAATTCCTCAGCCAGCATGCCCTCTTTCCTAAGACTCTGCAAAGAGAGTGCAGCTCTCCGAAGGCTCAGGGAGCCACATGGAGGAAACTTGTGCAGGAGAAGCTGGATCCAAAAAGGAGACTGCAAAGGCAGCTAGGTGAACAAATGCTGATGCTTCCTGGCTGCTGTGGCTGGGTGCAAAAGGTGAAAGGTCAGTGCAGGGAACTGCGAGAGAAGGTAGCTGGGCAAATGAATGCTTGCTGATCCTTGCTGGCGCTTCCCAGCTGCTGCAGCTTGCTGGTTCTTGTAAATTATATTTCCACTTGTATATATTGGCTCATACTAGTATATCTGTATCTTAATATTTAGAATAAGCTTCCTCATTTGTTTAAATGTCCATGTATATGTCATATCAGCTCTATCCTGACTCGCCCTCCAACAGTTATAAATGGTAAACTTCTAAAGAAATTGAGGAAATATTAAGACAGGAAAACAGGGCAGCAACGTACCCAGCCTCTGAATTGCCAAATATTGCAACCAACCTGTCCCAGACAACCAAGTCCATAAAGTACCGGGGGCTTGTTCTGTAACTCACTTTGCTATATCCCCTAAATCTTGTACAGTGGCTTTTACTCGTAAGGAATTGTCAGTTAGGTTTAAACAGCACAGACCTGGAAATTCTTCACATGCATGGCCATTTTGAACAACATAAAGTCAATGGCCAGTCTGTTTTGCAAGAGTGCTGTTCTTAGCTGTTCCTGCTTTTCAGTGAGGAGAGCTATAACATTGGAAGTCTTATTTATGCCTTTTATAACTAAACAAGCCAATTTTCTGATATCAAGGTAGGCATGGATTGCTAAAGCTGGTATGCCAATTATGGAGATAGCAAGCCCATAAACACCTCTGATATTTAATAGACCTATGTGGTCATCACAAGCACTGTCAAGCAGGGGGCCCTCAATGTATCATACTCGCTTGGTTTTGTGATGAGGGTAATTTTGGACAAGTGGCACTGCATGAAATGAAGTTAAACGCCCAATTGCACTGGGGTGTTCTGGAAAGTATGAAAAGGCATAGTTTCCACACAACAGATACCAGTCCTTTGGTAAGTAGTGGTGAATATAATAGAGCCAAGCTCTATTACCTTTGTGCAATTTGCAAGTGCCAGTAGGAAAAGGCATGTCTTTTTATCGTAACAGCCAAACAGTCACATACAGTTGCACCCTGGCAAATTGCCTTTGGTTTCTACCCTGTATAGTGCTTGATTGGTCCACTGGTGCTTGGTAGGTGTAGACTGAACATATAGAAGGGTTTGCCCTAGGTGATCAAGGCTGAGTGGTTCACGTGTTGGGTTCAGCTTAGAACTAGTACGGAGTACTTCCAAAAACTGCTTAGGTACTCCTACAAAGTATGTTTTGAACACAGAATCCAATTTGTTCCCTTGAGAGCACAGAAAGGTTCACCAGACAGGATTATGGAATTGGCCTTGGTTAAATAAGAGTTGTTTGTAGGTAGCCAGTTCAGTGATTGCTGCATCTTACACCTTGGCAGTTGCATAGAAACCACAGCAATCAACATGAACACAATCTTTAGCAGAGCCATTGCTTTGCTACGAGGCAGGAAGTAAAGGAAGAAAAGAATAACAGCACAATAGAATAAGCTAAATATGATAGCTGCAGTAGTCTAAATGTCGAAATTAAACTACAAAAAGTGTATGTACTGTATGACTGTTCCCTACAAGTCCATTATAACTTGCCTTTGTAGCTCTTCAGGATTATGTAGTCAAAATGTCATATTTCTTCTTTCTTCTGCTCGCTTCCCGGGAGCCTGGAACAATGTCTTTGATAATGGTTGCTTCTGGAGCTTAAGTGTGCCTGAGATGACTTAGGTGAACCCACAAGGTCAGACCTTCAAACTTTGCACTGCTGTGAGCTACTAATAATGCTTGTTGCGGGCCTTTCTACGTTGGGGATAGATAGTCTTTCCTTTGATGCACTTTTCAATATACCCAATCTCCTGCTTGCAATTGGTCAAATGGTTCAGTTTCAGGTAGCCCATTTCGGTCACAATGTTGTCTGACTCGCTCTTGGGTTTAGTGCAGCTTCTGTTGAAAAGATTGTATAGCACGTAAGTAACCTGACCATGGATCAGGATGAACATCTTCTGGGATAGGGATCAATACAAGGCCTAAAGGCATTGGTCACCCATATACAATTTCATAGGGAGACATCTTTAGTTCCTTTAAAGGGGAGCTCCTGATGGCCAAAAGTGCCATGGGAGTACATCTACTCAGCCCCAACCAATTACTTCTACTAGTTTGGCCAAGTGATTTTTCAAGGTTCCCACCATCCTTTCAGCTAGAGAGGATGCTTGTGGCCTGTAAGCACAATGATATTTGAATTCTATTCGCAGAGTAGTACCCATTCATTGGATGACCTGATTCACAAAATGTCTGCCTCTGTCTGAATGGATAACTGCTGACACCTCCCATTTTGACACCAGTTCAGTTAACAAGCACTTGGCCATTGCACTGGCATTTGCTTTCCTGGTAGCAAATGCCTCTACATAGTTACTAATGGTGCATATAACAACCAGTAGATGCTTCTTCTGTTTACATGGAGGCATGTCAGCAAAGTATCATTTGGAAAGGGTACTGCCCTTCAGGCAGTCTGGAGGGATGTAGCCTGAGACCCCTTAGAGTGGGCCAAACAGACCACATAGTTGCCAACTATCTCCTGTGCCTCTGTATGAATCCCTTCGCCTGCCCAATGTTGCTTAAACCTCTGGGCTAATGCTTCTGTTCCTTTATGACTTTGGTCATGTAGCAACCTCAAGATGTGCCTTACTGCCATCCTTGGAATAATTACTTTCCCTTTAAATTTCCACACTCCTGCTTCATAATTTGCTGCTTGGTTCTTTTTTCCATTTGTCTTTGTTTTTCAGTTGCATGTTTCTGCACCCAAACTGCATCTATAGGTACGGTGCAGGATAACAATTGTAAAAATTTCTGTTCTGGCTGTGGTTTCTCTGCCACAGGAGGCAGGAAAAATTCAGCTGGATTTTTAAGGGGAACTTTAGAAATTGTCACATTTGGGTTCTGCAAAAGTTGCATGTCGTATGATGTGAGATGAGATACTGAAATGGGTAAGAGATGCCTATGGTTTAAAAGGGCTTGTACCTCACATGCACAGTGACATTATGCTGCAGCAAAATATTCCTGGCGTGGGTCAATAAATAACTTGTTGCTCACACTGCACGTAAATAAGGTGGGTAAGCCTGCGCAACAGGATCCAATTTGTATGACAGACAGGCCACTGGTCTCCACGTTGTTGAGTTAAAACACCATATGCACAGCCTTCCTTTTTGGCTACAAATAAGTAAAAGTCCTTTGTATAGTCAGGGAGTCCCAGGGCCAGGGATTGCACAAGGTCCACTTTTAATTGCTCAAATGCCTGTTGTTGGGCAGGGCCTCAAACAAAAGGGTCAGTGGTTGTGGCTTCATA